ACTTGGACTTCCCTAACACCAATACTGAGATCCAAGAAGTTAGTTGGCTGGGCTTTGACTGTGAAGAGAAATAACGTCATATGGAGCTATGTCTGGTTCAGCGCCATTCACAAAGCAAGTGGTATTTCCCACTTAGTTTTATGGATCTTAGGTCATATCTAGTGACTTAATTTTCAGCAGATGCATTTTTCAATTTGTGGATGTTAGTACACTTGATGTTGTCCCAGAGGTCTCTTAGACTGTCTTCATCTCTTTCAGTTCAGTTGTTGTATTCTTCATCTCTGTTTGGTTTGTCTTTATATTTTCCAATTCCTTGTTAAAACCTTGTAACTTCTCACTCTGTTCATCTATTGTTCTTGTGAGTTCTTTTATCATCTCGGTGATCGTTACCTTGAACTCTATCTGGTAGGTTACCTAATCTCCACTTTACTTAGTTCTTCTTCTGGGGTTTTATCTTGTTCCTTCATTTGGAACACTTTTCTCTGTGGCCTCGTTTTGCTTAGTTTGCTGTTTTTGTTTCTATGCATTTGGTAGGCTGGTTACATTTCCCAATCTTGAAGAAATGGTTCTGGTTCTGTCTGAACATGAGCTCTTCAAGATCATGGATGGTGTTTTATCTATCCTTGAATCCCCAATATCTAAGATAGTGCATTATATATACTAGACGCTGAGTAAATAATTATTAAATGAATTGCCTTTTGGACCAGTTTTTAGGCCACTGGAAAGCCTTCTCTAGATCACGTTTTGAGGACTGCTGCCATAGCAGCATGTCTAAGAGTCTTAGTTTATTTTGTTTAAAGCATCCTTAGCAGAATGAATAACTCTCACATAACCTCAGTCACAACTTTATCAATATAGATATTAATAGTCATATTAGATCCAACTGTCACTTCAGTTTTGTATCCAAGACACCATAGGCTTGTAAAATCCATTCTATTGGAAAACAGAGTTGTCTTATATTGATTTCTAAATTTTACACAACAATTAAGCAAAATTAGACAAGGCCTAATACTTTTTTTAAGCCCAGAGGTTTCCTTATGAAGTCAATACATACATCTTCTACTACCAATTCTTCAAGTCACGACACTTAAGACCAGAGCTAGATTAAATATAAATAAATGGGCCATGACTCCCACTCCACCTGCAAAATAATCCAGGCAGGAAATTCCCACTTGCCCATTGCTCAATCTAACCTTGCTAAAGAAACAGACCTCTGGGTGGGAAGTTCTTATTCAAATGAATTCCTTAGGATGATGCTCAGTACTAGAGCCACCTGTCTGGAAAAGACCCAACCTCTGTGTCACTTGTAATGGACCGACGTGGAGTACAAACAGATGACAGAGCACAGCCTCTCCCATGTCTTCCCTTCCTCCTCTGCTCCACTGCTGCAATTTGGGCAGACTTCAGAGGCACAACTTCCTCCTTCATGGATTCTCCACTCATTATATCTAAATACTACATTAGGTGATCTCAGTTTCTTCAACTACCCTGTGGACCCCACGGTTAAATAGGCTTTTTACCCAGAAATCTTGCAGCTGGATTCATGGCTAACATTTATGGGCCACTATGGGTCAAACACTATGCTAAGGGCTTTACAAATCATTTACTAATTTAATCCTGCCAGCAACAACAAGTGGTAAATAGTCTTTATTTTATTATTATCATCCTCACTTTAGAGAGAAAACTGAAAGGGCTTAAGTCCAGGTCCCTTAACTTCCCTTAACTTTCCTGGTGCTTGAACATTACGTAACATTGCTGTGGCAAATGTCACCCAGCAATTTACATCCTTCATTCAAACAATCGATTGCCTTCAAACGACCTGGGCATGGGTCCTTGCCAGTTTGGAAGCCCATGAGGACTTCCTGGATTAATTCAAGTATATATTAGTCTCCAACAAGTCTATTACCTAAAATTCTATAACCCTCTCTGTATATCATCCTACTAGATTGTCTATTAGCTGTATTTTTCCAGTGTTTGTTAACTGATGGGAAATGCTTTATTTGTTTGCCTGTGACAAAGCTACGTATCATAGTAATCTTCCTTGAAGAGTACCTAGCACTCTACCAAAAGATAAAAGATGCTTGATGATGGGGATATTTAGGACAGCTGCTTCAGTTAGCAGAGCATGATGTGTTGCATCTTCGTATACCTACAGCGTGGCAGGTGTAACTGCAGCCATGATGAAGCACAAGAGAAATGGCCAGATACGGGAAAGGACCAAAGAATTTTCTTCATTAAAACTCTGGGAGCTTTATACTAGTCTATTTTTAGAGATCTTAAAAGGTCACTAGAATCAAGTCAGTCTCCCTAACAAACTCTGTATGTATTCCTATTAGAAGATTAAGGATTAGTTGAGAGAGATGAGAGAAAGAGAGAAAAGTTGGTGATAGCCAGAAGAGATGGAATGAAGATGGAAGAGAACAGACTATTGGTATAGACGAGTGTTCAGGAATGAAGACAGTATCTACTCTGGTGAGGCTGATTAGGAAAAGGACAGGAGGGTATGGAGGGTATATTTCCAATAATGAGCTAATTCTTAGCGTGATGGTACTCAGTGGTCTCTTCTCTGGTGCAGTGGGGAGAGCTGGATGTCCATTGTTTAAAACATGGTGGGTTGAGGAGGTGAAAAGGAAAATTTTTAAAGATGGTTGCTGTGGATTGAAAGAAGCAATAGTAAATACTAATTTATAGATGACAGGTTGTAGTTTGAGCTAAAATAAGATATTATTTGGTGTGAAGATTAAACTCTGGGCTTCCTCCATCTCCTTCCATTCATCATATGGATAGCAGGTACATACCTGGAGGAGTTAGCTGAGGGTATCAGATGAAAGGGATAAAAATCACTGATTCAGCAACAAACTAGCAGGGACTCACGTCCATGTAGTTTGAATTAGGACCCATATTAATATTTTTATTGATGTTTTTGTGAAAATGAATCAAGACCATATAGATTAATTCAATAAACAACACAAAGACAAAAATACTTGACTTGTGTCCTTGGGGATTATTTTTTAGGTGTTTACTGCCTATCTTCTTCAAACTAGATTCTAAGTTCCATGAGGGCAAGGACCTGGTCTGTCTTATCCACTGTTGTTTGCCCAGACCCAGAACAGTGCCTGCACACAACAGTTGCTCGGTAAACTGTTTCACATTGCTTAAACAGTAGGAGCAGACTGTCGTAAGTGCTGTGAGATCAGTATGCTCTGGTGCTCTGGAAGCTGAGCATTAGCTCTGCCCTGGGGTTTGGGGAGCTTTCAGAAGGAAGGTAGCATTTGAGCTTGAAGAATGAGTAGGACTTTGTGAAGTGGAATGGAAAGAGAAGAGTATTCCAGAAAGGTTGGAACATCATTAAAAAAAAAAAGAAGAAGAAAGGCAAACATTATGAAAAACATGGTCTTTGGGGGCTAATGAAAAGTTCATTTTTTGAACATTGCTACTTTAAAATGTGCACACTATTAGTGGAAAATAAATTTCCTTCCATATAAGTACACCTTACTTTATGGAATAGTTGTGAAAGAAGGACCAGAGGGAAATGCAAGAAACTGAAATTATTTTAATTTGGCTAATGCTTCTAACGACAATAAAAAATTAGAAAGATTAAGGGGGGAACATAAGAAATGTTCACCATTTAAAGATTATCACTAACCTGACTTTCATAAAAACAGATCTATGGAGGTGGAACCTGCAAATACTTCTATTTAGCGAACAACTACTATGTAACAGGGGTTCCACATTCATTGCCTCACTTAATCCTCACAATAGTCAGGAGAGACAGGAATCACCACCCACCATTTTACAGATGAGGTAACAGAGGGGCAAAATAGCTGGGTAAACTACTGAGGTGATAAATGAAACTGAAATCAAGGTGAATCTCAAAGGTCAATGTATTTCTCCTACCCTATGCTGCTACTAACTTAAGAAGCTTTTTAATTAGAGAGAAAAACGATCTTCAGTAACATGAAATAGAAAACAAAATAAAGGCACAGATCTGCAGTGTGTGTGTGTGTTTGTGTGTGTGTGTGTGTGTGTGTGTGTGTGTGTGTCTGTGTGAAGTGGGTTCTGGGCCAGGTCCTATTGTACTGTGGAGCAGTGTTCCCCAAATAGCTCTAAGCCACAGTGTCTATAATTCATCCATTATAATTAACCCCAAGGTTAAGGTATTGTTTCTGAAGCCTGATTGAAATGCAGATATGTAACCTGGGAGGACTGACTCGATCTCTCAATTACAAACCTAATTAAAGAGCTGGCTCTTTGAGAACTTGACCCGACTGACTGGTCCAGGAGTCGTGAGAGGCGGGGACTGCCCGGGCATCCCGGCGGGAGAGGTCCCCAGGCACAGGAAAGCAGGTGAGGGGTGGGTGTCTGGATTGGGGGGGGCACTCAGTGAGGCCGCGGAGGTGGGAGCCGAGCCTTGTGAACAATTCTCTGGGGAGGGAGTGGGGAATACCCTTGCCCTCTTATTCCAGGACTCTTCGGGAATCCCACAGACAAGTCTCCCGAGGTTCACCCATCTTCCAGTCCCCCGCGCCTCCGGGGCGATGGTGGTGGTGGGGGGGGGGTCGACCCGGGAGCAGTTAAGCTGGCCACCGCAGCCTGCTCCCCCACTGCCCCGGCAGTCGTGCCCGCAGGTTTAACCCTGTCCCCTCCGACTCTCCGACTCCCGCGCTGGGGGCCGCGCTCCCTCCCCCGCGGCGCGCCCGCGGCCCTGCACTGGGCATGCTCAGT